ATCATTTGTTGCCTCCAGTAGGACTGCTTGACATAGCACAAGCTGGGATGAGCAGTTGTTATCTACTGTCTTGGTCTAGGTCTGAAGAACTCTGACTTTAGAAGACATGGTAGCGATGCTGTCAGGTGTGACTGTATGATGCTGATCCCTTAGGCAGGAAAGAGAGTGGGTATCTTGGACAGTAACCAGCAGCTCACAAGAGTATTGCTCTTTGGATCACACAGGATACTGCATATACTGAATTGAACAAGATATACATGAAGGAGTAAAAAAAAAAAAAGACAAAGCAGATCAGTGTAACCATTTTCTGAACAAATGAGGCCATCATGTGGCAAATTACAGACACGGCCACAGAAAGAAAAATTTTTGATTTACAGTACTGGGTAATAAAGAAGAAAATACACAACTTTCATCACGAACTTGAAGGAAACTGGTGTTAAAGCTCAGACACAGAAATTCCTCCTAGCTTTTAATTTTTTCCATGAGCAATTCTCGAGAAATTTTAAAGGATATTTTGAAATTTTATAAATGCAAGATTCATCGATGGAAATCACATTTATTTTTTCTGTTATTAGAGTCTCATAGGCAATAATGGAAAAATGAGAGTCAGAAGGAATAATCATGTCTTCAGAGAAAAGATTTCGAATGGCTCAAAACAACAGCCAAGTGAGAAATGAAGTTTCTGATTATTTATCAAGCTCCTCAGGAAATTGCAGGAAAGAAAATTATGAACATCTGCAAAACTAGGCTGTTGTATGTTTCCTTGAATGTACCCTTAACAAGCTGAGCAGGGAAATATTAGCATCCTGAACTGTAATTCTCAACTCTAGTATGCACGAAGAGTAATGTCTGAGTTGTTTCTGATTTAGCAGATATGTAAATAACTCTCATTTTTAATAACTCACCTTCTTTTACATTGAAGAATAGACAGATGTGTGGAGATAAATCTTCTGTAGATCTACCCAAAAGAAAATATCGAGAAAACTTACTTAAGATTAGGAATTCCCTTTATGAATGGAGAAGTATGTCATAATTCCATAGTGCTGCCTTCTACCTATCCCTTGGAACGTATGTATATATTTTGTTTGTTTGTTTTTTTGTTGCACAACATGGAAATTTTGTATTGTTTTCCAGTTTATGAAATATGTACATATCAAGGAATGACTGAAGAGTTTGTACAAGAAGAAGGCACATTGATTAATCCAAAATGAAATCAGTACAAAATGGGATATATGTAAAAGTGAAGGCAAGAAGAAATTAATCTTGGGGGAAGACAAGAGTGCCTAGAAAGAAAAAACTGTGATGCCAGCATTAACTGAACAGCTCATTGGAGCCTCAGTGGTAAAGAGAGAAGACAATATTAGTCATCTCACACCTATAGTAGCTCCATTCTTTCTAAGTTCTGCCCTGACTTCTTTTATATATGCTGTAAATAAAGCTGACCTCACTAAGGACACTTTAAAAGCAAGTGGGAACTAAGAGCTAGTGTGTGACATAGATATACATTCCTTCTTCCTCAGCATGTCTTCATTTTTAATATCTTACATAGCATGAACTTAATTTTTTTCTTAGATGAATCAAATTATTCTTGTACTTATTTTTCATCAGTAATTTGAGAACCAAATCAAAATTAACGTAGGAATAAAATTATACCTGATTGTTAAATGATATAAGAACTGTGCTATTCTCTCTTAGAACAATTGCTTGCAGTATTCAAAAAATTTCTTAACATATGTGTCTCCTTTACTTAGCAAATGAATGATACCATTTCTACCCATAGACACTTCAATCAAATCCAGTAAGACAAGATAATATAGATAATATAGATAGAGAGATGCAGTATTTATCTTTCAAGTTATCTGAAATATCAATGACTTTAAATGTTGGGGCATTTTAAATTAGTCCCATACAATTTCTAGTATGTCTATAAGAAATGTCTCTGTCTTGGTGAATATAAGGCTGCAGGTAGTGTTTATGGATCTACTTTTATGAAACATTATGTAGTGCAGGATCTAAGATGTTCTTTTAGTAGAGCACTCATTTACAAGGTGTGACTCATTTCTCTACACAAAGGCATTAACAATATAAGTATTTATGATAATCATGCTTACATCCTCTTATGAAGAGACACAATACAAGGTTGTTGCTAATCTGACCTGCTAGTGACAGCAATTCTAGAATGGGATGAACTGTGCCCTGGCCAGACCTTTGTTAACCCTGCAGAAGACAGACTTGCTTAGAGAAATGACTTAGGTGTGAATGCTCACTTTGACTTACATGCAGTCCTGTCCTAGATCTCTACAATAACAGCGTTATGATGCTGATCTCCCTAGTTAACAGAGTACAGCTAGAATGAAATGTATGCAGGAATAAGCACGCAAAGACAAAAGGAAATGTACTCACCCTTCAAAAACAAAGATTGCTAAAGATTGCTGTCCTTGTGTGTTCTGCACCTTTCCTTCCTCTCTACTTCAGATATCTCTCCAGTCCATGAAATTCACAGCAAAGGATTTGAAGTTGCTGCGGGTCCTGTTTCTTACTTTCCGCTTTCATTTTACTGCATTAAAGTAATTAGAATAAAAGATACCGTCCTCTCTTAGAAATACAGAATGAATGAATGACTAAACTACGTTGTTCTAGATGATTTGTCTAGAAGACTGGGTACTCGACATAACAGTTATTTAGATTGTCTATAGATATATTTACAATGTGGTTTTTTCTGTACAAGAATTGCTAGTTGAGTGTTTTCACCCTGTTTTCATAGGCACTCTGCCATGTTTTGAGGGAGAGGAGTAGGAGGAAGTGTTATAAATGTACAAATAAACTCTACACCTTGACAAAGAGATTAACTTGATTCTATTTGTACTGTGAACGATCACAAGGATTGCTCTTTAAGAAATGCTTCAATGAGATCTTTAGTGTCTTACAGAAATTAATGCTACCAGGAAGATTGTTTTCACAGACCAGTATAGCAGCAAGAAAGAGACAACAGGTTCAAAAGATTTACTTGAAAGAAAGAAGATTGATGGGAAGTCCGTATCAGAGGGAAGACTGTTGAACTTCTCCCAACATGTGGGATAGTTCAGGAAGAACTTTGAGGGAATGCCTGAAGAAAAGACTAGCAGAGATCCAGAACTGATGTACAGTCTTCCTTTGCATATAGTACATGGCATATAGTACATGGCATATAGTACATGGTGAGAAATACTTCTTCAGACATTCTTCAGGTGAGGGAGGATGATGGAGTATATTTATGTTCTTGCACTATGTCAGAAATTATAGAAGGATTTACTAGTAAGGGACTTGTTTTATATAGAACAGCAAATTGTCCTTGTAGGGGTAAGTATGCTGGAGAACGCTGGACAATTGCAACACCCTGATAAGAATCTGTGGTAAGAAAGACTTCCTAGACCTAAACTCTCTTTTTCTTCTGAGAACTCTATTTTGATCAGTCATTTCAGCAGGAGGGCTGTCACACTGTTGGACTTAAGTCCTTCTTGATTCCTGTCTCTCCATGGTCAGTGGCATACGCTTGCAAAGTGGTTAGGATTGCCAAGGTGGTGTCAATGCCGACATCTCTCTAAAGACTTGTTCCAAAGGTAACAGGTCAAGAGGCACAAGAAATGTGTGGAAAAGCTGCTAGACTACCTAAGAAAACAGTAACTCCCTCAAAACAGTAAGTTCTGATTGAAACTGCTGCAGGCTCTCAAAAGAACAGGCCAGAGGAAAAAAGGCCTATTACTTCAGAATAACAACACATACCTATCATCAAAAGTTTAGAGTACTTATGGTCAGAGACAAGAGCTGACTATGCCAACAAGGAGGGCTTAGAGCTCAGACAAGTATCTTATGATGTTAAGGGGAACCAAAATATCTCAGAGCCTAACTGAAAAGGCTGAGCTTTGGAGTAAGGCCTCTTATGCCTTTGGAAAGATGTGGTAGAATAATGGTCCTTAGAGTTGTCCTAGTTCAGTAAACCCTTCCTTCGGGTAAAGCATTACAATTAGAAGGTACATTAATAGAATGTGGTGAAGAACGCATTTTTGGAGGTGTTCTTCTCTGTCCTTTGGCTTTGTGACCGTAAATTACATGATGAGTTATTTAGTGGTAGCTCAGTTGCAGTAATATGGTTGCTGTAGTCTTCTGAAAGAAAATTCTGAAAAGAAATTGTGAGCAGATAGTTCCTGAAGCATTTATAGTGGATTTGTAATTATGATGAAAACTTTTGCATAGATCTCAACAAAGGGGAAATACTTCTTTAGAAAAGTAGAAGAAAAGGATAGGGAAAAATAAATCGTTTTAGAAAGTTTCTATATTTGATGTGAATTTCTGAAATATATTTTAAACTACGTGGCCAGGATTTAAAAAGCTGACTTGCAGATATCTGTAGTAAAATATTTACAGTGCTATTCTGATTTTCATAAAGAGTTAGATTTGTCTGGTAAATGAAGAGTCTTCAAAATGACACAAGTTCAGGAAAGAATCTAGTAATTACTAATCCAATCATTAGAAACTGTTCCATCAAAAATTAAAAATCCTAGTTTAAAAACAAAATACTAACACTCAGAATTTAGTGAAAAAAAAGTCAGTCTACATATGTTCTCACTTGAATCTTCAGACTATAACGTATCTATTCAATTCTTGCAATTGCAAGTATAACTTCTTTATATTATTATGCAGAATAATAGCCTTACTCATGGACAAGAATCTTATTGTATCAAGTAATGCATAAATAGGAAGCAAACAAATTTCCTAGTCAAATTGGTTTTCCATCTAAGATAGAAACAAAAGAAAATAGGTATGTGATTCCAATGAGACTGCATCAATCAACATTCTGAGGAGTGTTATTAGTACATTGATGAGCCTAGTTAATGTGTGTATAAATGTCTAGATCTGTGTGTATAAATATCTAGAGATATGTAAGACAGACCATACGTATAAATCTCAGGGAATCAGAAGTTGCTAGGATGGAATTGTGGAAGATTGATTAATCAGGCCAGTTTTAAACTTAAAAACAAAACTTTACTGAATAAATATGCATTAACAATATACACGTTTAGATTTTAAGAATTACAGATCAATATTACTACATATTCAAAGCAGCTAGCACTTAACAGTCATCCTAAATAAGCAAATAATATACAATGTCACAGAGCTGATGCCAAGGATTTAGCACCAACAATTACCGTCCTTGGGAGTCTTAGTTACGGTGATCAAGTTCAAGAGCTCTTCAGCGAATCATGCTAACAATGAAAAAGATGCCTTCCTTCCCCCTCCTCCAAGTCCAAATCCTGGATTTTCACCTTTTATAAAATATTGCAGTCTTCAGAATTCTTAGTCTTTGACCTCTGACCCCTGGGACTTCGGGACACTTGCAGATAGTTCTTTCCCGGGCTGCAGCAGGTGCTTTGTCTTGCCCATCAGTTATGAGATTTTTTCTGATCTGCTGTTTCTTTCCTGCATTATGTCTTTTTCCATGTCTTGAGGTTGCAACTCTTTGGTGATCAGTAACCAACCACCACTGAGGTACTTCCAGTTTTGAGACCCTTGTTTTCAGACTTTGCCCATGTTTTCAAGACATTTACTGTCATGCCAGGCTAAAACTCCACAAGAGACATCTGGAATCAAATTTCAGCTGACCAGCAAGTTCTCGTAACAGGTTGGTAACAAGCCTAATAGGACTGACTTGTGTCTTACACAGGCACAGTGAGGATAAGGCTTGAGGTTTCTTTCTGACAATGGCAAAGCTACTTTTACTGAGCATGAGAATGTTTCCAAGTTGGTTACAGACAAGCCTGTTTAATGTGACTTTTGACAGAGTTCAAAGTAAGCTAATATTAATTACATTTGGCTTAGCATGCTTCTACTTCCATGAGGACAACAGGCCATTGTTTTGGCCACATAATAAAGCTGTTTGAATAATGAAAGCTAATACAGAGAAACTGGTACATATTTACTTAGTTTTGTATGATTTATGAAAGGAAGGAAGAAAACCAAAAGTATCAAGACTGACTGCTGATATTGAAATAATTACAGTGGCAGAAGTAGCTCCAGTGGGAATTCAGAGATAAGTACTGCCTTTATTCTACAGGTTGCATTACACACTTTGAACATTGACCAGAGAATAGTAGATGCCTTTTTCAGCCAGAAGCTGCTGATGGGTGCCTTGCTCTACAACCTTGCCGTTCTGTATCACAGCAATCTTGTCAGCATTTTGGACGGTGGAGAGGCGGTGAGCTATCACGATGCAGGTACGGCCTTCTCTGGCTTTATCCAGAGCTTCCTGAACAATCTGCACAATGAACAAACAAAAAGGTGAACTATTCTGACAGCTGCGAAGTAAACTGCAATATGAGAGAGAGTGAGGGAAAGGGAATATCTCGCTCAAGCTTCCTGATTTAGGATTGGCAAAGAGTCAAAACTGTTATAGCAGGTGTGATAGTCAAGAGGATTAGATGGAACCAGGCTCATTACTGAGGTGCATGGCAGGAGAATAAGAGAAACTGGTCATAAATTGTAACAGGAGATGTTCTGACTGGATATTAAAAAAAAAAAAGTGTTCACTGCAAAGACAATTAAGCATTGGAACAGGGACAAAAGAATGTCTGCTGAATCTCCTTAGAGATTTTCAAAGACTCTTCCAGACACAGCATTAAGCAATCTAAGTTTGAATTCAGTATTGGCCCTTGTGTGAAGAAGATGTTTAACTGGGGACCTCCACAGGTCTCTTTCGTGACAGATTAATTATACATGGAATCAAGTCAGTATTCTTGGGTCAACTGCTATCATACAAGTTCTCCTGATTTTGCAGGGAGTCTCATGAATCATTTTTTTCTTAGAGCTAGCAGTGGCAGAAAAATGCTAAAAAGAATCTCTGCTTTCTTTTATTTATTCCTTATGTTTATTAATGAGGAATAAAAAGAGAGATGAAATGTCAATTATGTGCCCAACTGGAACATAATTAAGAAAACAATGAATCATGGGATTCTTAAATGGCATTTTCCCTTCAAACCTCATTTTTATGCCTACAATTGATAACAACTTGGTCCAAAGGTTTTAACTTTTCAGACTATAATATTTGATATAACATTTGCCTCATTAAGAGTAAGTTTTTTTGTGGACTCTGTGTTAATTTTTTTACAGCTAGATTGTATTTCTGTTGTACCAAGATTGCAGCTTTGGGCTTAAAAAAGAAGTAAGAGTTCTAAAAATTTTCACATAACATCTTGTGTTAACCATGAACACGCAGCAAGGACTGGAGAGCATTAGGAGAAGAAGAAAACTTATGAAACAAGATTTGTCAGTTTTACAGAAAAAAAAAAGTTCTCTGTCAGCATTCTCAGTCTTTTTGGCTTCTGCAGTTTGTGTGTCCTGATTCAAGTTTGACAGTACTTTTTCAGTTGAAGCCTGAAGAATCCTAGGCTGAAGAATGCATTCTTCATTGCAATTTCAGTCTGTCTACTGCCATACAGATGCAAAAATTGCAAGAAGGAGTAAGACTTTTATATTTGTCTGTTATTAGCATAAATGTGTAGTTTGCATAAGACACCATATTTCCAGCTTTTGGCTTCAATCTGGGAGAGTAAAAACAATAATCATGATGTAAGAAAAAAAAAAAAACCGGGGAAGTGGAATTTAGTTTCTAGACTCCTGTCTTAAACTTAAGTTACCTTTTCACTTTCTGTGTCTAAGGCAGAAGTAGCTTCATCCAGTAGCAGAATTTGGGGCTGACGCACAAGAGCTCGGGCAATAGCGATACGTTGTTTCTGACCACCAGAAAGCTGCGTTCCCTTGTCTCCTACACGGGTATTGTATTTCTGGAAATAATAGATTAAGTTCAGTCTATGAATGCAAATCAATTCTGAAGTATACTGAAGCATATCAACCCTGACACCAGCCACCCATAAACTGCATATTCCGTGCCAGTAGCTCTCTGAAAACAACGGATCAGAATTGCCAACTGACACAGATCTATAGATCTTTCACCAGGAGACTTCTTTGTAACATCAAGTATTTCCTAAATTCCAAGCAACAGCACTCCCTAGGGTTGGATGGCAATGTTATTCTCAATCAGGAGACAGAACACCAAAGATCAGTGGAAGTCCGTGACAATATTGGGGATCAAACCCTGACTTAAGACACTCCAAGCTAGTGTCCAAATAAATCAGTTATTCTAACCAACTTTTATTCATCCTGAAAAAAAAAGCAATGTGCAAGATGTATCAGATTCAGGCCAAATTATATATCTATATAGGGACACAGACGTTTTTAGACTTTATCTATATCTGTCTGGACAATTATGCTTCTTATTGAGTTATGAAAGTTAAGGCAGACCAGCAGATCTTGATAAGTCATTAGAAAGTAAACACGGTCTGCAAAAATCATGGGCCTCAGCTTTTGTATTTTTTTAAGCTATTTATCGGCCTGAAATCAGTCTGAATGTATACAACATGCAACTAAGCTGGCAACCTCCCAACTTCAGAAAGTTTTGAAAGCAAGTTGGCACAGGTTAGAAACTGATTTATCAAACACACAGAAGAAAAATCCATACAAAACTAAATAATAAAAAACATTTTCTACCTTAGGAAGTTCCCAAGTCACAAATTACGCAAAGTAAGATGAGAATTCAGGGGAAATGGGATTAAATGTGTAGCATTTCTGAATACTTATTTGTAAATATGTCTTGGTGGTCACTGCTTGGGATAAGATGATGTGCATGGCAGACCTTTTGTCTGACCAAGATGCTCATTCTTACATTATCGTGTGGTGGTCAGATATATATATGTGAAAAACTATATTTTCAGACCACAGGAATACTAGAAATTTAAATTCTGACTAGATAAACTAGAAGAAATGTATAACCTTGTCAGTCTAGCAGAGTCTTTTACATGTGCTTGAGATGGACAAGAGCTTAAAAAGAAAGATTCCATTTACTTAAAAACCCCCACTCCTCACTTCCAGCTCTCAATTAGTTACAGTTGTGTCCTTTCTTCCCTGAGATCTTGAATGTTCAGCTCTCTACCTGACACTGGAATCTCCCAGAGTAAAAATAATTATGGTAAACACAATTAAGAAAGGAAAAATGTTTCAAAAATGGTTTCAGATCTTTTTTCATCTCAGGGAATTATTGTACCCCAGGTATTTACAAGCAGACACAATTTTTCCCTGCCACTTCAGGTCACTTCCAGTTCCAAGTGGAAGAGAAAAGGAATAACTTACATCTGGCAGAGAGTCAACGAAGGTATGAATATTGGCTTCTTTTGCTGCATTAACAATTTCCTCAAATGGCACCTGACGACTGTTATCTCCATACGCGATGTTTTCAGCAATAGTGCAATCAAACAGGATTGGCTCTTGTGAGACAATACCAATCTGGGCTCTCAGCCACTTGATATTTAGTGCCTTGGCACCTTTGCCATCAAAAAGCTGAGAAAGCAAACATTTTAAATTTTAGTCACATGGCTATAGATATATTTGAGACTTACTGTAAATTCATACACAGAAGTTGTGCAATTGCAGCTCTTTCCTTAGAGAGATCAATTGAAAGCTCACATAATCCCTTGCCCTGCTTCTGCCCTATATCCCAAAATTTTCTGAGGGCTATTTTATAAAAGTGTTGCCTCAGTCTCTGTTTCCAGGTTTAATTAGGATTCTGAAGACAATGAAAGATAGGGTATGCTGAGGCAATTTCAAAGAACCTTGGGTAATGTTCTTTCATTTTTTTCTTCAGCAGGAAAAATAAGCTTGAAAGGAGAAATGGCTTTTGACTATATAGGTATTTACCATCTTTTTTCCTTAGAATTCCAATGGATTTGCAGGCTGCTAAGATCTGCTTCCTGTCCCTTATCTGATGTGAAAAATCATTGGAGAAACTAGAGAATACAGTTATTATGCATTTTGGACCTACCATACCAAACATCACGACTTTTAGGCATAGTTACTCTCCTTATGAGACCAGCACGATTGCTCACTTTTGTGTACAGCTGCTTGGACAGTTACAGCTTTTAAAAATACACCCCTTTCACCTGAATTTGCAGGGTAACTCAGCCTCTGAATTAGCCCACCACTTTTGTGGTTTCTATGCCAGAGGTCTGTGCTTTTCCTTTCATGCAACCGTGGTTGGTTATCCATGAATACAAGGTCAAAAAAATTGGTAAGGAAGACAGATTTGGTTAAACATACTTTTGGAGTACTTGTGCTGCTACTTTCTACAAATCATTTTGCTACACTTGGACATGTATGGGCATTTCGACTCTCAAAAAAATCTTGTCCATTGCATCTAGGTCTTATTTAAGTATTGCTTCCCTTTTTGTGAATATCTCTGCAGAGACAAGTTCCGAAATCCTTCTTATTCTCATCTCATCCAGCCCAAAATGCGCGCCTTGTTTTTCAAACACAATCTCTGAATACATTTACATCAAAGAGCAATGGCAATAAACAATACTGTTATGTGAAAAAAAATATGTAAAGTTGCTGAATAAGTAATGTAGGAAACTTTACATGTATTTTAAGCCAAAATTACTGAAAGTATTTACAGTCTATCACTTGGTATGTGGACACACTCTGAAAGATGTTTCTGACAAGTAAAAGTTACTATAAAAATTATTTTTGGCAATGTTCTCTGGTTTTGTTTTTTCTGAAAGAACACAGACAGCAAATTCTGTTACTATACTATACAGAAGTAGATATGTATATGTATGTTTCACAAATTTTAAAGTGTTCATAATATAAAAAACTCAGGAAATTTGCTCTGAATTCAAAACCACCATTAGGTCATGGGTCAGGCATATTTTTACCACACAGATCTTGTTTCATTAATTCCATACAATGTGGGAAACTGGGACTTACGTACATCTCATTCAGTTAAGGAGCCCTGATGAGCCAGTGCTGATTTTTAACATTAAAAATACTTGAAAAAGAAGACTAGAACTATCTATTATACTTTATTGCATCACATAAAACCAGTAAGCATACCCTCACTTAAATCTATTTACACGTTCTTGAAAAAATACTTACCATTTCTCCATCAAGTGGGTCATAAAATCTCTCGAGCAGCTGAACAACAGTACTCTTTCCACAGCCACTGCTACCAACAAGAGCCAGAGTTTGTCCCTTTTCTACTTTTAGATTCAAACCCTGGAGGATTTTGACCTCTGGTCGGTTTGGATAGTTAAATGCCACATCTTTAATGGTTACGTTTCCCTCAAATGTTTCCTGGAATTAAAAGAGCATCACTGTTACATGTGAATGAACAAGATTCAGGATGGGAGCGGTTCCAGGTGTGGAGAAAGACATATAGCAATTGACAGGACTTTACTATATGGACTTTACTGTTATTATGTGGTTTCCTTGTATCCCCACTACTCAATGCACAGCCTGGGCATACCCGGGCTTGCCACGAGTTTGCCTTCTCCCTGCTTCCCCGCTCCCCTCTCTGATAGGCTGCAGAAGCTGCAGAGAGGAGACAGTTACCATTCGCCCTTTCCTTCCCCGGTTCCTCCCACGTTCCTCCCCCTTTGCCTGTGTCCCCCGTTTGTCTGTCTCATGCTCCACCCCATGTTCTAGCCCTTTCCCCGCCTGAACCCATAAAACCTCAGGACACCTCAATAAAGTATTCCATTTGCACCTCTGCCTTGTCTATGGACCCGTCCGTGCTGTGTCACGGCCCCATTCCCCCTCGGACCGTGGCAGTTACATCTTTGAGACAATTTCACAGATGATTCTAATAGAATTCCAGAAGTATTTACTCCCCTCCCCAAAATCCATAGGGGTTTTCCAAACAAATAACCTTTTGCCATTATGAGCAAAAGCTGGACTCACAATAGAGAACTTGGTCCATGTTGTCTTCAGATAAAGTGTCAAAAATGCATTGGGAACAGGATGTAATCAGGAGAGGAAAAATCAGTTTGAAGGAAGTGAGAAGAGTGCTGTTCATATTACCAACAGAAAATATCACCCATTACACATGGCTTACTTACGGGCTTCTCTCCTTCCTCGCTGTAACTATCTATTGAGGGCACTCTTTCAAACAGCTGAAACAGGTGGGCTGCTGATATCTTGGCTTTAGCGTAGTCTGGAGCAAAAGAGGCGGTTTCTCCTAAGGCCATCGCACCAAATACAACAGCTGAAAACACTCTACAAAAGAAATCAGGAAAAAAATAATCGATAGACAATGGAGAAAAGGACAATGGAAATGGGGCTGCAGCCAACTTTTTTTTCACTCAGAGAAAAAAAGAGGGCTAAATTTAGAAAGAGTAAAGTAGTAACCAACTATTATTGCTTCAATTACTCATTTAGCTCCAGAAATTCCCTTTTCACCCTCTTTCAGTGATGTGAAATAAACATGTCTGCATTCTAAATTCGGTGTTTGCATTATTTATTAGCACTAATTTCTTTAGTTATTAATACTGATTAAGTATATTAAATCTCATCTGGGGCTATAAGGAAAGGGTCAATGGATAGCAAAATTGTTACTCTAATCCTGCTATTGCTATGGTTTCCTCTCTATGGTTCCATGATTTTTGGGAGTTAGTGATCAATTTTTAAGGCATCAATGAAAGGCATCCTGTAACAAGGGGACAATAAAGATTTAATTTTCTATCACAGCTCTGATGGAAAAAATAGCATGGTTTACAATACTGAAAAGGGTTGAAAACTATGCTATTATTGCTTTGTGGTGATTTTTATGTAATTTTATGAAATTTTATGTAATTTTACAGGCTACATTAGAATAGTTTAAGAACCTGCTGTCTTCAGCTATTAATTACTGCCACACAACTGAGAAGTGGTATTTGACATATGAGATATATGAGACCTCTTTTAAAGCAAAGTAAAATAGATTCATTTATTTTAAATTTTGTCTTTTCAGAGCTCATAAAGTAATCTGTTTTATTCTGCATTTAAACAGCCTAGGAGAGCTTACGCAATTTTGGGTCAAACAATCCCTTTCAAGTCTGACTGAGCCACTGGAAGTTCACTCACTCAGCTGACTAGTGATGTTCAGCTAGCAGATGGGATGCAGGCATTTTCCAACATCTTCCAGTCAAAATGAGCTGTGTTTACCACAATTAGGTTGCCAACAAAAAATTGATATGACTGATCTTCTTGGGTATTGAGGTCACTGATATCTATACTGGTAGAATCTCAGTCTTTTCAAACTTGTTTACACAGCCCTGTATTGAGTCTCTTAAATAATAAAGGATTTTTCTGGATAGACAGAAAAAATATTGCACATGTGATACTCACAAAAACACACTTTTATACTCCATGTGTCCATTTGCCACTAGATAGGCACCAAACCGGAAACAGCCAGCATAGGTAAAGAACATCATTGCTTGTGTAAAGGCAAAAGTAAAGCCAAATATATGTGCCTTCTTCACAGAATTTCTGTAAGAAAGAATGCACATTTTCATCAAAGTGTGCAATCATACTTAAGTTCTAATATGCAAATACCAACTGACTTCAGTTGATACTGTTATGAATGGAAAGTGTACATACACCGAAACATTAACTAAAAAACATATCTCTGTCTCTTCCAGACAAACTGACCCATAGGGCAATAAGTTCTTTTTTATACTAGAACAACAGTAAGATGGAGGTCTCGGAGCAATCCCATCAACGTCAACCCTGAGAATGGTTTAGACACTGTTTGGAAAGTTGTGAGATGTAAACTCAAAAGCCATCAGCCTGAGAAAAAAGCTAAGCACTATGTCCTGCACTGTGCTCTAATCACTCAGTTTTTATGGTTGATGTGTTAGTGGCATCCTCACAAGTCTCTTGTTATATCTGTGTACAGATGCTGTCATTTCCTTTACTTTTCTCACGAATATCTGAAAATGAAACATTCCCTTCTAGAACAAATAAAACTTTCTTTGACAGAATCTTTTTAGTTTTTCACTTTAAGACTTTAAAATTTTTATTTAGTCCAGGCAGATTTATATTACTTTTTTTTCAGCTACAAGCCAATAAGCAATTACTCAAATATTTTCAGTCCCACTAATACTTAAAAAAATGGCAGAAGGTAATATTCAATTTACATTAAAAAGCTTTTAATTAAATATCAAAAACACTTCAGGTGGAAATTCAGATTAGATCACTTCCAAAGCTCACTTAAAACTAACATTTTTCCAAACCAAGTGACATTGTAATAGAAAATACCAATATTATAAAGAAAATTAATTAAATCAAGTTTAAAAAAAAGTCAGCTGGTGGTGGTTGTGTTTGTTAATAAAAAAATATGCAAAATATTTACATTAATTCTGAGGTAATTAAATTATACATTAAATCATACACACTATCAAAAAACCAACTATTTTTGTTGAAGTAAATGTGTGCAATTTATTACAGATTTTTTTTAGCTTAGTTATTTTTATTATACCTGTATGGTACAATCAAATATTCTCCATACATCAACTCAAATTTTCTTTCTCGGGTCAAGCTAACAACAGTTCTAATATTTTCTATTGCTTCTGTGGCAATCTGCAATAGAAACATAAATGTTTTAATCAAAAGTTAAGATTGTGTTGCAATTTCTTATCCTAAACTAATAAAACAATTCTGTTGGAATGTAATTTTATAGTTTTTATACTGGTTATTAAAATCATGGACATTTGATATCAAAAGTAAGCATTTTACATTTTTCTTTTTATGACAATGAGATTTTCTTACAATGCTCAGAATTTCCTAATAAGACCTCTTTAATGTCCTACAAATAAATGGTGAAAAACCATTAGGCAGCAATGACAAGTATGGAGAAGCTATTCAACAAGAAAAATGGGGTATGAGCATTCAAATTCCTGTCCACTGAGTTTGGGCTACAATCAAAATGTCCAGGTTGCTTACGTGCCTTAGAGCCTAACATAGATCTCAGCAGTAAATATTTGATCTGAACAATAATACATTCTTTAATCTTGCAGATATATAGACTCGAGTCATTTGTATGCACAAAGGTACCTAGCAACTTTTGAAGCCAATAAATGTGTGTGTATATGGGAATAACAGATTCAAAGCTTTTACATAACCTGTTAAGACTATGGAGGTGCCCACAAAGTCTTCCTCAATGACCACACAGTGAGGCTAGGAACCTGTATGGTCTATTTAGTCCATATTAATGTAGAATGGACGATGCTTAGAAGTGACCAACAGATGACACCTGGAATAATCACATCTCTTCAGACACTGCGACAATGCTGCATCCCTCTATTCACCTCTGGATGAAACACTGGGCTTGAGTGCACAACCTACATAGCCTCCCATGAAATATGTGTTATACTGAGTATTCCAGTTGTCCTGAAATCCTGTTGCTCTGGGAGGGCACATGTACTGTATTATAGTTGACAGTCCCACAGGGATGGATATTCTCAATTTCCTAATGCATCTGAAATGTTATTAAACAGCTATATCTAAGCTCTATTCAGCTGCCAATCAGTCTCATTTCTAAGGATGGGTATTAAGCAGGACAGCTCATTTATGAGCATAGATACTGTACAAATGCAAAGTAATGTCTTTTTTTAACTCAGAACTGTACGTACAGCAGGAAAGGAATATGGGCAATACCAACAACAATTTAGCTTGACTTTTGCAGACATTGTATAAAAAATCATTGTCCTGCTGTACTCAGCACTGCTGAGGCTGCACTTTGAGTACTCAGTTCAGTTTTAGGCCCCTCACTTCAAGAAGGACATTGAAGTGCTGGACCATGTCCAGAGAAAGGCAACAAAGATGATGAAGACCTTCAGGGCTTTAACATATTTTGCTGAAATATACATTTAATGCATCATGGTTTGAGTCTAATAAAGACCATAAAGTAAGGTTTTCAGTAACTTAAGTTTGGCAGTCCTTTGCAGAATGCAAATTTCCAGGTAAAACACCATTTTTTCTCAAAACAATCCTGATTTTTTTAAAAAATGAAAATTTAATAAATTTCCAGTCGTCCAGTCCTTGCTTAGGTGGCCTTGAGAGGGGAAACTCATACATTT